ACTTTTTGTTTCTTCTTTCTCCTCTCCGCATGATACAAGAGCTATTGAATGCTAGGCATACATGTAGTACATGGGAATCTTATATGGCATGAACACCTTCAAAGATCATTATCTCAGTAGGGGGCAATACCGAAAATGCCCCCCATGTATCGCCTGACCCCCTCACCTAGTAGCCATCGATATCCCATTGTTGGTCTAACCCCCACTGTCCTTCCCCTTCCTTTGACAAGACAATAGGGATGGAAGTATGGATCAAGTCTTAAAGATGCTATTGTCGATGATTCCTAGAGCTAATACAATCAGGATAAACATTGAGGGTCTAGGGGCCAGGCTTTGTTATCGTTACAATCAATGAGTTGTCGCCCATTAGCAGAATGTAGTGGGCATTGCAGGCATAGAGGGATGTCAATAGTCGGGAGTAGTTACATGAGGCCATACAGCATCCATTATGTATTTTGAGGTTGAAGGGTATAACCCAGCTGGACATTGTAAACTTAATTTTATCATTTATCAAAGGTTAATGGCCTGCTTAATTAGATTATAGAAAATGGCAATGACAATGATTTACTCTGCATGCTACTCAATTGTTCTGATGTTTGACAACTTCATTTTGTTGTTAATTTGTGTTGTCATTTCATTTCATTGACCTTTAGGTGTAATTCATTTGTTTCCACATGAAGGCTAGAGCAAGACCAATAGATCATTGCATATTGTTTAGGTTGCTGAAGTAATTTTTTTATTTTGGGGGGTCATTATTAGTTTGGCAGAAGAAAAAAAAATAGTACAGCTTCGAGGAAAAAAACAACAAAATTAGGACTTTGTGGGCAACAAAAATATAATACTAGGTTGCACGACATGATGTTAGGCGGTCAGTGGCAGCCAGGCAGATCCTTGCTCGCGAACATGCATTGTAAATTTGGAAGTAGCGTACTAGCTTACAGTATCAGTTATTGTCAAAATAAAATCTAGCTAGAAACATTTTTAGCGCTGTTGTTTGCGAAAATATCAGCTTACCTGTGTATGGTAATCTAGCAAATGATCCTTAAAAGCTTTATTGCCAAAGTTTTATTTTCTTCTGATGTCCACACACTTTTCTATCTATTGTCTTGTATTTATTACAACTGTTTTCCAGTATGTACATTTTTGTCCCTGTTGCTGTACAATGGTTCTCTATACAACGTTTCTTTATACAAGTTACGTTGAATTGTCTATAGTGTGAACAGGCTACTCGTCGCCTGATAAATGAGTAGGGCCATTCCATGGTAACTCGCGTTACACTTAATGGGTACATTGACACGATAATGTGCCTATATCTTTAGAACTGCTAGGATCTACAAGATACTTTTTTCAAACATGGACAGGGTAGATATAGAACAACTGAATGAAACAAAAAAGAAAATTGAAGAACAAACATTTTTAGATTCTTGGATTATTGAATTTTGGTAACTCGCGTTACAAAAAAAGGACATGGTCAATTCTACGAGACCCTCTTTTCTCCTCATACTAGACAATCTTGACAAAATCTTTCCTACTTTAATTTGATAGTAGGTTGTGACTTACTAGTATAAGATCACAATATTAAAGATAAGAAACAATGGACTAGTAAAATACAGGAAGCAAATATGTCGGTAACTCGCGTTACATTTTGTCCGGAGGCCATTTTTACCCCTATGTAATAGATTAAATATCACAGGACCCCTTAGAATATGGAAATATATTCATCTTTTTCCAATTAGCGAAATTTTCAGGAAAAAATATTACAAGAATCCTGTGTAATCTGCAATAAATTGTTTTTTTTCAGCTACAGTCCCACATGTACGTTTTTGATGATAGTTTGAGATCTTAGGAAATCAACAAAAATGAAAAAAAAATTGTATTGAATTTGAAAGGCCCTAATGTTTTATGAACATCCATGGCATAAGGTTAGTGATAAATCAAAGAATTAACATAAGAGGTACATTTCTTTTTTTGATGTCATGTCCTTCTTCTCATGGAATGGCCCAGTAGATGGAAGATCCTGATTAGATTAACCCAGAGTTTTTGACCTGAATTTGCCCACTGCTAAGATCATGTGATCAATCATTCAGTAATTTAGATGGGGACTTTCAGCAAATTAAACTGAGATAGAGATATTCACACCTTCATAGGCCTGTCGTCATCAGCTCGAGATTGCCAAATATCCCGCTATTTGAACTATCCAATCGCAAATTATCCAGTTAATATGCGTCTTCATCAGCCTGAAATTGCAATTCAATTAGCGGGATATTTGGTCGAGATGATCATCCCAAGATATCTTAGGCTAGTTTGCAAAATATCCTGCTTTTTGGCACTATGCGCGAACGCTAAGTAAAATATCTAGAGTTTCACGTTTCGAGGTCAAGTCTCGAGCTGATGAAGACGTGATTTGTAACTTCGGGATTATTTTCCAAATCCGAAATTGCAGGCTATTTGGCAATCTCGAGCTGATGAGGACGGGCCTTATGTTCCTTTGTAATCACAGAATATTGTATCACAGTGGAATTAACTGTTCATGCATTTCATGAGGAGGAGAGGAAGAGGGTGCAAACTAGCTTGCTAGGTGATGCCTTGCTTAGAATTTCAACTCCATGTAGACTGGCGTTTGCAGGTTCTGCTTTGTAGTATGCAAGCAAGACTCTAATTTGACACTTTACCACAAATCCCAAAGCCTTGAGCAGAGTCTAGATCTGTCATTTTCTGTCTGGCAAATGGGGAGAGGGTGAAAACTAACTTGCTAGGTGATGCCTTGCTTAGAATTTCAACTCCATGTAAACTCTGGCATTTGCAGGTTCTGCTTTATAGTCTGCAAGCAAGACTCTAATAATGTCTGGCTGGGATGCTCCCCAGGGAGTGGAGATTGTGCACACAGTGTGTGCGGGCAAGCACTGAATCCAATGACCAGGGTAATAGTATATCTGTAAAGCGCTTAGAGACGTCCGAGATGTATTAAAGGTAATACAAAGTTTTGGTATGGGGTCATGAATTTGGTTCAAATGAACATATTGGAAGCATATACGATCCTACAATATTCAGTGATCGTTGTCGCGGTCGAAATCGACTCTAAAGTTATGAAATTGTAAATAATAAACTCTTTATGTTGAATAGCTCCCTCTCAAGGTCAAGATATTAATTAAGCTATAAAACAATGTTTATTGACTAAAATTGACTGATTAGCTATTCTCGTTCGGAAATTTTATACCCCAACTACATACTCTGAGATTTTCATGGTCGCAGCTACCATTGAACGGCCGTAGGAGCTATTTGAAATTTATCAAAATTTACCGGGAGCACCGGTAAATCTTTATATTCAATTTTTCTCGAAAGTAGAAGTGTTTTAGGGGCTAAAATTTCTGGTGTTTTTAATAAATCCACAGGGGCATCCAAATATATCAAAATTGTAAAGAATTACTATCCACCCATTTTTCAAAATTTCCCAAAACTTTGTAATACCTTTAAGCGCTATATAAAAGCTGATTATTATTATTCTTATTATTTGGCACTTAACCTAAAATCCTGAAGCCTTGAGCAGAGCCTAGATCTGTCAGTTTCCGGCTGTGGCAAATGCGAGCAGCTAAAGTACGGATAGCCTATTGTACATGTAGTCTCATAGTGCAGACACTGTTACGCACGGCGAGTGACAAGGGTTTGTGTCTGCAAACTAGGTTCTCATGGGGAGAAAAGAGCAAAAAATCTTGACACCGCCTAGCATCGTGAAAAGGATGCATACACCTGTACTGCAGGGAAACACAAGAATAAACATTCTATACCTACATGTACATATGATGCATTCATTGCATTGTATATTTACATGTATGTGTATTGTGTAGGATGGTGAACTTCCTCTATTTGTTTTCCTTTTTCTTTTGTCTGTGGAATTGAGCTTGAACGATTCAGCAGGCTTACCCAAAGCCCGTGAACATTGATGTACATGTATGTGTACTCTGAAAGATCATTACCTGGGCATGCATGCCCAGGTAATGTGTTCCCACATAAAATGAATTACATCAAACATTTTATCGTACATGGTAGGGCTGCTCGAGTACATGCACTGTTGACAACTACTCGAGTTCGATTTCTCGTACTCGAATATTTGGCCGCAAAAAAAAAAAAATCAATTAAAAAACAAACAAACATGGCATCCGAATATTCGAGTATTCGCTTGTAAGCCTGGGAGTGTACTCGGGTACCTCATTACACAGTTGTAAACGAAATGAGAAGACATACAGTATTATAACAAATATCTTGGACTCACCATACTCATACTCAACAATTGATTATTTGAACAGTCTGTTCTCTTATTTAATGAAGGATGCTAATATACAGGCTATTGCATGATTTCATTTCCATTTCCGTCACTTCCCTGTTCCGGGCTTTTCATATTCACATACATTTACATTTATTGGTCTCCAGCATATCAGGGTCACTTTTGAGGTCAAAAGTACAAACCTACTTGTTGTATCCTTGTTAAAGAGAGTGTAGGTTGGAAAATACTGGTTAACGCCATCTACGTCTTTTGGACAACAGCAAGTAAACGAAAGGACTTGCTTAACGTTAGTCAGTGACTTAAACGCTACATGGTCAGCGTTCGCGAAACAGACTATAGTTCGCCTCACGCTTCGGTTTCACGTACATGTATGTTGCACGCACGTGATTGCTGCGGTGGCGTCGTTCGTAGTCGTATTATACCTGATTGGCCCCCGAGTCAGGCCGTTGGAAAGACACGTAATCTCATCAGGCAACACTCTCTTTAAATTGCTTTAAACAATACAGAATTCCATTTTTCATCTAGTTTCTCCATGAATCCGTACACACGTTTCCAAAAAGGAGAGTCAGACTGTAACACATTTTTTTTCTTGTTGTTTTCTAGATGTCCCACATTCTCCAAAGCACAAATTGCTTTAACAAAAATGTAGAATTCTATACAAGATTCTAGTGAGGAGAGTCAAACTGTAACACATTGTTTTTTTCTTGTTGTTTTCTAGGTGTCCCACATCCTCCCAAGCACAGACTGACGGTGAAAGAGGTCTATGACCTCTCCGGGAAGCCCAGACCAGAGGTCCTCAAACAGCACTTCCTACAAGAGGGACGGTTAGAAGAAGAGGTTGCACTTAGGATAATCAATGAGGGCACAGAAATATTACGAAAAGAAAGTACTATGTTAACGATAGACGCACCTGTTACAGGTAAGAATACTACCGTAAATCTCTGTGTATAAGGCGCACTTTTTTGCCGCCGAAAAAATTGAAAGTCGGGGGTGCGCTTTATACACAGGTACAGAATTTTTTATTTTTTTTAAATTAAATTAATTTTTTTGTTTTTTTTTGTTGTTGATTTATGGCACTATGCCTGGCAATGTCTCCCAGCTCAGTAATCAGTGTGTTGACTCACGACTCAACAACACTAAAATTTGTCTGTCATCTTGGTTTGAAAGTAATCTTTCTAATAGATCTCAATATGTAGTTTATAATAATAATTCTTCAATTTTTTTTATATAACAAATGGTGTACCACAAGGTTCTATCCTAGGACCTAGGTACTCTATTGTTTTTAATTATAATTAATGATCTTACACATTCTTCTAAAAACGACATTGTTACTATTATTTGTGACAAGTTTACAAGCACAAATCAGCGCCTTTAACTGCACCTCGATGTTAAATGAAGGTCCTTTCCCGCGTGGTTTATTCGGCAACAAAACAACAACAACAACAACAAAACAAACAAAAACAATTTATTTTCCCCTCCCCAAAATAGGGGTGCGCCTTATACACGGGTGCGCCTTATACACAGAGATTTACGGTACTTGGATATGCTATGAAAGGAAAGTAAAATTGTGATGTTAGAGGTATCTGTTATACTGTAGCTAAGAAGGTTCAATTATAAAAAGAAGGTACTATGTTAACGATAGACGCACCTGTTACAGTTGAGAATACTTGGACATGCTATGGAAGAAAAGTAGGATTGTAATAATAGAGGTATCTGTTATAAATGAGAGGGTTCAAACATATGAAAAGAAAGTACATGTACTATGCAAACGATAAATGTGTCAGTCCGGAAACTGGGCGCTGAACTGACACTCCAAGAAAAAGGATAAGTTCCCTCATAAATATTACTCAGATCTTTGACATTACTGTTTCTAGAATTTCATACTCTACTCTTGTGAAAGCTCTCTGTAATATATTCCATTTGATGAATATTTTAATTTGATTGTCAAAGAAATGGAGCCTCCACTTCTTTAGGCCTTTCTAGCAATATTATTAAAAAGATGTGATGGAGGCTTCTGATTGGAATTTTGTTTGTCTTGTTTTAAATTTGTTTTAAATTTGTTTTATTGTTGACCCGATCGATGCTAGGCAGTAGGTTTTTTGTGAAGTGCCTGGATATGAATGATTCCATTCACCAGTTTAAAATAATTGTATTTCAATAGTCGGACAAGCCATAATGTTTGTCCTACGAAAATGGCATACATTGGGCCACGGTTGCTAAAAAAACGTAAAAACTATAAACTGTAAATCATGTCATAATAATAATAATACTCAGCTTTTATTTAGTGCGAATTACAATTAACTCCCTAAGCGCTTCCAAACTTAGAAATAATTACCCTGGCTTTAGCTGTGCTGCCATTACGGCGCACTAGCATTTCAAGGAATTAATTCCTGCCAGGTACCCATTTACATCACCTGGGTTGAGTGTGGCAAATGTAGATCAATGTCTTGCCAAAGGACATATTGAGTTTGATGATGCATCTTGATTTCACATTTGCCTGATTTTCACGCTTCTTTGAACTTGTTTACAGTATGTGGCGATATCCACGGTCAGTTCTATGATCTAATGAAGCTCTTTGAGGTCGGAGGAAGCCCCCACGTAACACGCTACCTTTTTTTAGGAGACTATGTCGACAGAGGGTACTTTAGCATAGAGGTAAGTTCAATTTCTCCAGTAAGTTGATTTCAGATATGACTTTTTATGATGACTTGCAGTAAAAAAAAACTAAAGTTGATTTTTTTATTTTTTATTTTTATTTTTTATTTTGATTTGTTTTGTAACTCAAGACCTAAAGATGGACTGTTGAATAATTATTTTATTTGGCAAATCAAGTCACATAAATACAACAATATAACAAACATGAATTGAGACAAAATCAATAGAAAACATTACAAATGATAGCAGGTGCAATATTGCAATAGCAGGTGCATCTGGTCAAGCTGCCCTGGTATGGAAAAAGTTAACCTAATAACTATGATCCGCAGACCTTCCTACCCAATTTAATGAGGGCCTTTGATGAATACTTTTTGATAGAGCTTTAATATGTGACATTCTCAAGAAACATGAATCAGGACAAATCAATTTTTCACAAATTAAAAAAATTACAAAACTTGGTAAGAGTATGAATAATTTAGTTGTTAGCTGTGAATTGTAATGCGCTTCTCATTCTGTATCTCGGTTGCCATTCTTTTACGCTTTAAAAATCTGCAACATTCGATTTTGCAGCTTTTTACAGCGCTATTTGTGAACAAGCCTTATCTGTTATCAAGAGAACTTACTAACACTCACAACCTACCGTGATAAAGAAATAACAGGAAAATTTGATGAAGAATTGAGATGAAAATTTGCCATCAAATCATTCCCAACTTCATATTCAAGATACTACAGTACGAGTTACATTTATCACACCATACAGTACGATATCGCCATCTTTGACTAAACATGGAAATTTTCAGCCGCAGGAATTTGTTAACACTTTGCTGTACAACCATTGCTTTCCAGCTAATTTAGATTTTCTGTAATTCATACAGCAAGTTGCTATCTACCTTTCGTATATCACAAAATCCTTTCCATTTATCCAAGGGGTATCGTGCATGATTATATTTGCTCGCAAAATCCATTAAAGAAAACCTCATGAATATTCCTCCATTTTCCTCTTTTTATCACAAGGCCAATATGAGTGAATTTCATATCTAATGGGGGAAAAACGTGATTGTTTGGAATCATCAATTTCTATACCAGTTAGATAAAAAAAGTCCATTAAAATTGAAATATGTGTCATAAACCTTTTTGACAATTAGAATCCATTTTAGTTCATACTTTTCTATGATGTAAAGTTATCGTGAAATTCAATACCGAAGTTTGATGCATATAAACAGAAAATGGTAAGCTGGAGGCTTAAGTTTAGCAGTTATGAAATCGCTTTTTTTAGAATTTCAAATGATTCAACTTAGTATCCGTTCTAGAGCATTTAGGGCTGCATAATAACAAGAATAGTATTTCAAGTGGAAAAAAAATATGGGATAATCATAAAAGGAGGGTAATTTTCTTTGAACTTAGCAAATATTAGTAGTTTTTCTTGAAATGTTTGCTGACATTTTTAAAGTAGAGTATGCACATTTCAACCTTAGGAGTAGACTTTCAATGATAATGCCTATAGATCTTAAATATGTTAACATAACACATTGACTTATCTTTCATCCTGCCTACATTACATTCTTAATACTACTTTCACGCCGTATTGAAAGGCATGCATCGAAGGATGAATTTCAGGCATACACACTTGCTGTTGTCTAGCTGACCTAATTAGATCATTAGCAGTATGACCAGCAAAAGGCCTTTCTGTACTGCCAAAAAAAACACACAATTTCAAGGAGGTATCTGTTACAAAAATAAGGAGGATCGAGGGAGGGTGGGAGAGAGAGAGAGAGTGGATGAGAGAAAGAGGGAGAGAGAGAGGATGGGAGAGAGAGAGATAGATAGAGAGAGAGAGAGAGAGAGAGAGAGAGAGAGAGAGAGAGAGAGATGAGAGAGAGAGATAGAGAGAGAGAGAGATGAGAGAGAGAGAGATGAGAGAGAGAGAGATATGAGGGAGAGAGAGAGATAGGTAGAGAGAGAGAGAGAGAGAGAGAGAGAGAGATAGAAGAGAGAGAGAGGAGAGGAGAAAGAAAGAAAGAGAGAGAGAGAGAGAGAGAGAGGGAGGGAGGGAGGGAGGGAGGGAGTTAGAGAAATGAAAAATGAGTGGATTATTGAAATGTAGCGAGGGGTAGAAAGCACTCCTTCGTTATGACTTGGTTTTGACCTAGGAAGTGTCCTACGCTGAAGGACCGGAATTACACTGGACGGATGTGTGTGTGTCACGGATTGTTTCCATACATAATAACGTACACCATAATCCCGCATATTCTGTGTGTAATAATGCCTGACAATGATGCTCTTACGAAAAACATCCCAATTCTGATGGGTTTCATTGCATTTAAGAAGAAAATTATCCGGGGATGAGGGATGAATAATGTATGATATTAAGATGCAGAATGGAGTTTCATTCCCTTGAATTAATAATGGAATTGAAAGTTTACGGTGCACTGAATCGAAGGCAGAAGGCGCATCCAATCTGAATGATTTACAAGACAAAACTGCTCCCGAAAAGATGGAGACTTGATCTGTGTTGTATTACTTGCAGTGTAAAAAGTACTTTTCTGTTCACGTGAGCTCATTTAGGATTTGTTGTTGAATGCAACTATGTCACATTGATATTATTATTATTATTATTATTTTTTTACCAGAGCTATTTTTCAATTTACCAGTGCCATTTTTCTTTAAATTTCTGGACCCCAAGGAAGAACAGGCTTGTCATATAAACAAAGCTGAAAGGGAGGGGGGGGGGGTGTGATAGAGATGGGGTGGAGGAAGAGAGAGACAGATGTGAGGGGATAAGGGATGAGAGAGAAAACGAGAGAAAATGAGAGAGAGTGAGAGAAAGAGAGCGTGAAAGAGAGAGAGAGAGAGAGAGAGAGAGAGAGAGAGAGAAAGTGACAGAGGGAGTGAGTGTGTGTGTGTGTGTGTTGGGGGGGGGGGGGGGATGAGAAGGGGGAAGGGGGAGGGAGCAGTTTCTGTTGGCAGAATGGTGTAGTGATCATATTATAGCTAGGAGGCTATTGACCCAAACAAGACCTCACATCAGTGGAGGTAAGATATCATTCATCGAGACATCTTGCTCTTTTCACCACACCTGAAGAATAGATTACTCACACACACACAATTTTCAACTCGTCACCCCGTTAAAGAAAACTAGGGAAGAGAGATAGAGGAAGAGAAGGAGAAAGGGTGATAGAGAAAGAGGGAGAGGAAGGGAGAAAGAAAAAGAGAAATGGAGGGAAGTTGAGAAAGAGATGGAAATGAGAGAGAGAGAGAGAGAGAGAGAGAGAGAGAGAGAGAGAGACAGACAGACAGACAGAGAGCACATGAGCATAATGACTAGAAGAGAATCATGACCCAAATGAGTAAGGAATGAGATACACATTGTTACATATGTATTTTCAATTGGCACAATCTTTGATTTGAATGACAAAAGTAGTTTACATCACTCGTTATTGCGCAATAGTACTACAACATTCGGGATAATGTATAATCCATTACCAAGTGAAAAGACGTGGAAAGCAGGCAAATAGTAAGACAGACAGGCAGAGATTAAAGGTGCAGTCCACCCTGATATTAAGTTGGTTAAAATAGAAGCAGAACAATGAGAGGAATAGGTCAGTGACAGTTTGAGCAAAATCTGACTTAAAACTATGAAAGTTATGAATTTTTTAATCAAACAGGAATAGTCATCTTGCAAGTTTCACTCCTGTTTGCTTTGTACTAAAAAATATGATTTTTAAATATTTTCCCCAAACAAAATAATCAATCATACATGCACCTTAATTGTAATTATTGCAAATATGTTTCCAACCTCTGTATGAAACAAATAGTTTCCGACATCAATATCTAAGAAAATAACAGATTATGACATTTCTGTAAAGAGATAATTGGAGAGGACCTCACAAAATAAATCACATTGTTGCCAATTTGTGTATCACTTATGACAACTTTACAGGTTCATAACTTTCCTACTTTTCTCTCTCTGTTTTTCCCCGCTTTTATTAATACCAGCTAATTATTAGGGTGGACTTTAAAAGCCAAGTGTAGAAAGATCAACTCGTGCTTAGAATAATACTGGGAAGCCAAGTCGGATTAAATTTTCGCTTGCCTATTCCTTCAATCTTTAATTTCTTTTTGGGTTAGTTCTCTTTCGCTCTTGGGAGAGACCTTCTCGCAAAGTGAAATGAAAGGTTGATACATTACAGGATAGGGAGTTGAATAGTCCGCAGAGACCCGTCTAGATCTCATCTATTATGGAATTGATTTATTGTTGTGGAAAAAATTGGGTTTAGGTCTCACACGGGGAAATCATTCACATTATTTAAAGGGACGGTCTGAAGTTCAAATGCTCGAAATGCTTTCATCTTAATTGTTCAACATATTTCTAAAGATGCATTACTGTAGTTAGAAAAAATATACATGGGAGCAGTGTGCGATTGAGTTCCCAAAAGCTCAAAAACCGCTCTGGTAAATTGAAAAAGAGATCTGGTACAAAAAACAACAACAATAAAATATTTGAATATCACTGTAAGAAAATAACACTTATACATGTAATAAACCAAATCCTTAAAGGTACTATGTCCCATTTGCAGGCCCAAAAATGAAAAGGTTAAATTCCAACGGCATTTGAAAGATGATACTAATTTAGAACTTCCCTCAAAACGAAAGGGCTTGAAAATGTCTTTAAGTGGGAAATAACGACCATTAGTTGTCAAAACAGAATGTGATGTTGGCTGCAAAGAGCTCCCTGCAAAGAGAAAAGTGTTTTTAACACTCTATTGCATACAATAAGATTAGCATACTTTCACTGAAATTTGAATCTGTTTGATTTTAGAACAAAATTGTCAGTGGGAAAGACAGAAGTGTACTACATTAATACTTGCATACAAGAATTCATGCAAATTTTTTAAACAATCATATTGTTCAAGATCACAATAAAAATTAGGAATTTAGGGGTATAACTTTCAAATAAACCTTAGGATGGCTACTGGTTCGACATTACATTTCTTTCAATG